GGCAATTTGTTCTTTAGGTCAGAACAATGATGAAGTGGATTTAATCTTGAAGACAAATGCTATGAAGCTGTTCAAACTTGAAGTCAATGAGAAAGTATGCAAGTATTTTGTCACTATCAAAAATATGTTACGATATTGATTATCTGATGATCATACAAGAGCGAATCTGTCTTTTAGGTATAATGCTACTATAATTATACAACGTCGCATTTGTATCAAGAACGTTAAACTGTTTGGTGTAACTAATCATATGGTTGGTTATTTTTTCAGGTTTATGCTTGTGGTTTCATTACAATTGATTTTGACCGTTCTATGCAAATCGTATGTATGGAACTTTTCGTTGGTTGCTGATTGTTCAATGCATCAAGAATAATGCAATTTCAAATATGTGTTGATGAACTTCCATCTATTAAAGTGCCATTTTGGTATCGTCATACTACGGTGAATTACATGGAGTTGATCAGCACGCTGTTTAACGTGCTTTGTCCAATTTGGACAAACAAAGTCATATCTATTGGCTCTGATGGCAAAAACACGATAACGGAAAGAATCGAAGGAGTTGTCACACGGTTGGTGAGTATGTGTTCAAACAAAGTTCTCCTCATTTGATGTTCTATTCATTAACTAGATCTTGTTGTGAAGCAAGCAACCAATGATGTTGAAGATGATGTTTTTTCAAGATAGTTCATGCTTTCTCAGTTCATGCGCAAGTCAACGTGATCAACAACATGGGAGTATCAAAATATTCCAAAGACACAACGCGATGGATCAAATTTGATAATTTACCCAAATAGAATTGCCGGAAAATTCGTCAACACATTGAGGAAAAGCGGCTGGTGCAAGTGCCATCCAATAAGTGATGAATCATTGTTACTTCCCTTAATCCGCTATTTGCAATTATTTTAATTACACTCAAGACACTGTATGCGCGCAGCATGATTATCTCACAGCAGCTTATTGAATTCGACAAGTTGATGACAAATATATGTGAAATTAGTATTCGTTCAAAACAAGACGGCCTATTCAATGATGTCGAGTATCAAGATTTGAAATCCATACTATTCAACAACAACATGTATATTTTGTTTGATTCGGGTTGTGATCATATTGATGATCAAGTTTCATGGGCACAAGATTCATTCTTGGAAATGGATTACAATACCAAGAATGACATAATCAAGGTAATTGGTCATTTTGCGTCATTAATTGTAATCCAAGCGTCCATGATTCAGGCAAAGGGCGACTCAAATATCAATGCTTATGAGCTTGAAGTGCCACAAGTTATGTCTGCCGACATTATCAAATTACTGGCGCAAAAATTCATTAGTGAAGTTCTAGATCGGTTTTGAACGCATGTGCAGAAACACTGATCACATGAATATAACAATCAGATCAAAGAAGTATACATAGACCTTGCTGAACGCATCAAAAACTGCACATGCAGTGAAGATGACGCTTTAAATTAACGACAAGAAGACAATTTTCAACAATGCGTGGGATTCTATCAAATCATTTAAGAAACAAGATCTTAGCCAATTTTGTAATGTTGAGAAATTTCAAGTGAGCTCTTGCAAAAGCCTTTGCAAACACATGTTTGATCAAATCCGACTACTCTATCGTGATATGGAAAAAAAATGATCAACAAACAGATCTGCACAATATGTCTCTTGTCAGCATCATGCACGCATGGCAGTACGACGTTTTAAAAATGTTATTTTTATCATTTCAATTAAAAGAAGTGATACACAAGTCTTATCAAATTGGACAAAGTTTATTTTGTGATTTCATTTCATCTTATTGGTCTTGCTGTCACATTATGTGAGTTGAATGTTAACCAAGAAATACTAGTATTGCGAGTATGTAGTAAGTGACTAGAAAGTTTTTTCCTGTTTTTGAGCCGATTGTGGATAGAATTTGAAGTAACTCATGATACTCTGATGAAATCTGTTATATTAGGTTAAACCGCGAGATTGTAGATCACACGGAGAGCGCCTTTGCATTAGTTTTTGGGAGTGGGTTTTCACTACGTTGGTGGCAAAATGTCAAAGTTGAAGTTACATGAGGAGAAGAAAGAGAGAAGAAAGTAAAAAGCATGCATATGTCGCGACGGTGATAACTTCATTCTACCGTGTAAAAATTCCATCTTATAATTTTGATTCTAAATGCGCACTTCGATGAGTGCAATCAGTTACTTTGAAAATTTGATGCGGGCAGGCGATGCAAGAACGTTTGTACAGGTTATTGCTTTCTCTCAATACTCAGATTAGTGATGTGCCAGAACTCGTCTGTACATCCAAAGAAGTGGAGTGGGTTGAAAAAAGGGCATACTTCCTTCTTGGTGCAAGCTCAATTGCAAAAGTGCTCATTGCACTTTTGCAACCAAAGAAAAGAGTATTACATATACTGCGAAGGTATTCTAGTAATGAAATATTTTGGTAATGAAATTGAGTTTCTCTCTAGTATTAGGACCGAGACAGATGATGTCACTCTGCTTAGGCCGAGACATACAATTCACGTCTCGTGGATTTTGGAAGTTGGCGGTATTCAATTTAAGTCTAATACTTTCATTGTTAGAATCATAAACCTCAAAGTTATTTTTAGTTATTCTATGTGCTTTGAGTATCGTCACTATAAATAATCATGATTCCTGTTCATGAACTGTTCTAAATTCTCGTATAATAAATTCATAGCCATCTATTGATGGCTATGGGCTTCCAGAGAACGCAACATGACAGGCGACAGAACCTAAGTTAACCACAACGTAGAAACATGCATGCCTGAAGTTGCTGTGAAGTGAACTCAATCTACTATAGTTTGAAGATTGTCACAATAGCTTTTCAATACAAATGCCACTTTAAAAAAATGTTGAGTGCCAAAATTAATGAAAAAGTGGCAAATGTCACTTTTAAGGAGGTATGGGCTAACATGACTTCGGCCAAGAGCTTTAATAAAAAAAAATAGAGAATCTTAAGTAAGTAACGCCACTACAAACGCCATTACAACTGTAAATTCTCTCTAGATCATGAGAAATTGGGCTCTCGCATGATGAAGATTGGCAGCCACGGGAGTTCTGACGAACTGAACGTCAAGGAGAATTTCCTTTTTCATTGATCTGGAAACAAAGCAGTTACAAGAACTCCTATGAAAACATAAGTGGCGGTGAACTCAAGTGACGTCGGAGGGTTCCATCGGGTAAATCAAGTACTTTTCTCTCCACTTTGTAGTAAATACGAATGTCTTTGTTCTAGATGTAAGTCAACAAGAAAAGGCAAAGAATATGAAACTTGTTGAAGGCGTGGAACGTGTCTCACGCAGATAGAAACCTCGAGGAGTACGAAGTGGAGGAAGCCACATCGGCTCCCCATCGAGGGAGATTAATGCTGACTAAATGAGACGATACGCCTGTACATAAAAGGATGCCGACGACTTGAGACACAATTTGCAGACTTCGAGCATGGGCGAGAGTGAAGGGAATTGGTTTATAGATATAGTGATGTTATTTATATCATATAGTAAATTTAACGTTATTAACATATTATTTAGGATTACAGTAAAAGCATGAAGCAGGTGTACATTGTTGCAAACAATATTGGTTTTTTTATTGCAAAATATAAAGAATGGGAAATAATTTCCTTAACAAAGCACTTTACAAAATGAGATCCTTTATTTTAAAACTTAAAGCAGTATCAGAATTTTTGGGTATCACCTGCATGGTGCCGAGAAGGTAATCAACAATGTGCATATGAATACCTGTAAATGAATATCTCTGTAAATGTTGGTAGAAGTGCTGGCAGCACGTTTCGTGCACTACCACCAAACTTCAAACGATGTGTAGTAGGACTTCACACTAAGGAACACCTTCCTTCTGTTCCATGGTTTCAGTCAACTGCTAGAGAGCAAGACGAGGGAAATATTTTCCTTCATGCGACGGAGAGCAGTAAGCGCAAACTTTCACAAGGTAGTCATCGCTTCGAGATGCACTCCAAGATGAATCACAATTCTTTCAACGGAAGGCTCTTATCCTCGCCGAATGTGGACTATAGCATGCTGCAGTTTAGGTAAGGACTGAGTGGTGACATGGACCATAATAGGTTGCAGTGCTATTAAAGTGGTTGTCCATCTCTTGCATGAAACACAATTGGTTCACAGAAGGTTCGTATCTTGGGATGCTCAAAAAACTGTAAATATTTTTGTCGCAAGAGGTACAAATAACAAGTGTGATGCAACTGGACCATATACCATCCCACACGTTTGGTTTCGTCGAGCTAGTCCTTGATAGAAATTCCGGTCTTTTTTGCTGTATTACTCGGTCTTCGATGTGTAGGTAATGATGAAAGATGTAGAATTATTTTTTAGGCTCCGCTTGGGTTTGGGTGTTCGTCCTCCAAAACCCTCATTACCTTCCTTCTCTAGTTGCAAATTTCTTATGCCGTGATTATTGATCGGCTTTCCACCATGAAATGACATACACTCCGAAAATGATGAATAGCAAAAGCCACCCAATCGGATGGGTGTTCAGCACGCAAGGGGAGGTGACAAGAGAAGAGCGGAGTTCAAAAGCTCTTCTAAAATCTGAAGCAATATAGTGAAAATCGTATACATAAACACTTCAATTTAGAATAGAAGTAAGTGGGGTCGTACACCGTTAGATACGATGGGACTTTATCAGCATCGTCATCGTCATCTGCCGCTGTAGAGAGAACCTGGCGACTCATCTGCAGACATGGCAGTTGGATCATGTGGACACGTAGGATCATGGACTGACTGGAGCTTGGAGAGAGAGAGAGAGAGAAAGGAGAGAAAAAGAGGACGCACAGCAGCCGATGAGAGGAGAGTGATCTCACAGGAGATTCGGCTCGAGCCATTGGTGGCGGACACCTCCATCAGTGGTCAGCGCTGGTGGGGCCGCGGGCGCGTCTGCAGAGCAGAGCAACGGCGAGAGCGACGGGAATTGGGTGAAGTCTAGAAATCCAGAGCTCTGACTCACTGACTCACGGACTCTATGGTTGGCTGGCCAGGCGGAGCGAGGGCAGCATCCGAGGGCGGGGGGACAGAGGAGGCAGAAGACGATGCCGGAGAAGAGCGGGCGGGCGATGGAAGGAAGCGGAGGGATCTTTCCAGCCGCGGAGGCTGGAGAGGCCTTCCTTGTGCAGGTCCGGGAGTCCGCTGCTCCACGTTCGTGGTGCTTGACCGGGCCTCGTCTCGTGCGGCGGTACCACGCGTCACGCCAGCCTCCGGGCCACAACGGGCGAGATGCAGATCGTTGGGAGTGTCTGCGGTACGAGAATTCGCTCGAGGACAGATTCGCCTCCATGCGAATTTGGCCATCGCAGAGCAGGTTGATTCTCAGTGCAGTTGAGCGCGTCGCGAGGTGAGATCGTACTGGCCGGAAACAGCCGAATTGTGATTGCCGAGCGAAATTCTCGGTCCAGCAGCAGCAGGAGCAGCGGTTACGTTGAGGAACATCAATTCATCGTCGAGAGAAGTAGGATCAGCATCAGGAGTAAGAGTGAAAGCCGTGCACGCCAGTTAGACCGGTATCCGAGAAAGGAGTCTCCTTGGGTCGAATTGCCATTGAATGCGACCCTCCAATTGACAGGAAGTGCGGACCTTTTGGAACGTTCGGAAGCCGAGGATAATGCCATACTGCCATGTCCAGGAGTACGAACGAAATTCAAAGAGAAGCCATGGATCCCATGTGGCGAGATCGAAGAACCCCGAAGATTTGAAGCTGTTCTATCAGCTTTATGGCCATGGGTCCACGAAAGTTCTTCTGATTATTGGTGAGTTTTCAGCGCCAACCCCCTACTTCCCATCTGCAATGACACAGTAGAGGTGATGTCTCCGAAAGGCCGCGTGCCATGCTAGAAGAATGCTGAAGACTGCCCGTTTTGCATATCGAATTTCACTCTCGCCGGTCACTCTCACTGATTTGGACTCTCTTTCTGCACACCTTGAGTCCGAGTCTCATTTAGCGAGGCGCTGAGAAATTCAGTCCATTTCAGTTCACTTCTGCCTTGGAAGTTGAAGTGAGTCATGTCAGTCTACTATTTCAAGCTTTTCAAGTTCTTTGAGGCCGTCTCCATTGAAGATCGGAAGGTATGCAACGCAGCCTACTGATAATTGAATCACTTTCGTAATTTTTTGTCGGCGGTTCGTTCGTACTGCTAACCCGTCGGGTCGCAACGACTGGGAATGTGTAGGGCTGGCAGCCACCCATGACGCATGGGGTCCACAACTGATTGGTCTGTGCGGGACGGATGTTCCCAATGAGGCCGAAATCGGAGAAAGCGAGGATGGGGAGCAGGAAGAGGAAGAGGGTGCAGGCAGTGATAGACACGGAAGTGGGGGGGATGTGGTTCTCGAGAGTCATGGAGCGACTGTCGAGGATTGCTTGAGCACATACTCGGAGGGTGATAGGAAGAGCAACTATGACATCAAGGAGCAGACCGGAAATGGTGTGCAGGTGTGCACTTTCGACAATCGAGGAGTCGGAAAATCCTCGATTCCTCAGCACAGGTCGCTCTACTCGTAAGTAATATCCGTCATCCAACCTGCTGGGACATCAGTCGGTCAACTCAATCTACTGGCCCGGCCCCGTTGTGTGATCAGAGCACGGAGCAGAGAAACAGTCAGACTGAAAGGAAATCGCTTCTTCGTAAATTTTCAGGACCAAAACCATGGCGAAGGATGCGCTGGCGTTACTGGATCACTTGGGATGGTCAAAAGCTCATATTTGTGGGCACTCGATGGGTAAGTAAGTGCCTAGCGCAATCACATCATTATTCGGTATCGCTGTTGTGGCCATATGAGCTGGCTGGCTCGCTGTTACCTATCGAGGAGAAGTCGCATTTGGGTTCGGACCTGTTGAGGAACCTCAATTCGTGCTAGATCTGGGCTAGTGCTGAAGTGTGAATTTAGAGACTCCAGTCCATGCATCCTTCTGCGCATGGTCTTAGCACTTCCGTATGCATCGAGCAAGGTTGCCACGGTCAGAATGGTGAGATGCATGATGTGCTTGTTTCTGTTTCTTAGATGTACGACCTGCCTGACCTACTCTGTTTTTTCCTGATATTTGTTACTCGCCTCGCCGAGCTGGCAGCCGGATCGGTGGCATATCAGGTTCAGCTGGCCTAATGATGTTGGGTATCATACTTTGTGTTTGACCAGGTGGGATGATAGCCTGTAAGCTTGCCGCCATGGCACCTCATCGCGTTTCTTCGTTGACTTTGATTGGCGTTACTGGAGGAGGCTATCAGTGCTTGCCGAAGGTATCAACTGCGGCTCATAAAGATCAGAATTTGCGCAGAATGACTCAGTTCAACGGACAGTTATTGTCCTTAGTTGATTGGCTTGGTTGGAGAGCAGATTTCACTTTATGGGTGCAATGGCGCCGTAGGAGTTGAGAGCGGTTGGTAATCTCTGGAACCCGGCCAGCTGGATGTTCAGAGATTGGAATCGACAGTGGTCTGATTTATAGATGCATAGATCTGTTTAGCAAGTGAGCGCGTGGACACTAACTAAGGTAGTGCTGATCGTGTCCGGGCAGCTGAATCGGACGACGCTGTCAATTGCGTACAGAATTCTCCGGGCGAAGACCCCCGAGGCTAGGGCGGAGGTAGACCTCGACACGCACTTCACATATGTGAGTTTACTACGGTTCCCTGTCCTCCAATTTTTGGCTTTGGCAACTGCTTCCAGTGCGGCATTGTTGAATGTCAACGTGACTCTTTCTCTCAAAGAGGAAGGTAAAGAAGACGTGCAATGCAAATCTTCGATTTGTTTACTTGAAGTGAATATCAAAGTTTTTTATCGATGTGGTTATCGGTGAATGTCTCCAGTTTATCTCTATGTTGCATGTGCTCAGCTGATTCAGATCACTAAGCATCTCGAGATAAATGAACAGGATTATTTGGAATCCGTCGTCGGTGAAGAAAAAAGGAGGAATTTGTTGTTCAAAGTAAGTGTGTTTGATTTCTGAATTTTGTTCAGCTGAGAAATTTGCATGCTTTGAAGTCCATGTGCCTCTCACCTACTCGCATCGTCTTCTGGTTTAGATATGTCAACTGACGCTGAGAATCATTACATTAGATCTGGAGATCCTTCGAAGTGGACATTAATTTTGAGGTGTAATGATTAGGAGTACGTACGAAATCTATCAAATGCAGGCATGCAGCCGAAGCATGGGCTGGAGGGCCAAGCCTATGCATGTTGGAAACATGGTCTAGCATCTGAAGAACTCCATACGATTCGGTCTGCGGGCGTCATTGTGACTGTCATTCATGGCAGGTACTAATTTAATATTTGCCTAGAGGGACTATAACTGCACGCTTCCGCATATTGAGTGTTAATTTACACACCTAATTTTGATACTTGTAAGTTCATGCAAGTTCATGCTTGTAAGGCGTGTAATTTCATTTGCTTAATCGTCAGAAAAAATAAATCGTGAAGTTTGTGAGCTCTGCGGTATTTTTTGTTACATTCCCACCTGGTTTACTACATCATCAGTGACCCCTCTTCTAAGACTGCATGCCTGACTTACTCTCGTGTGGGTAATTTCTACTGTCAACAGGGAAGATGTTATAGCCCAAGTTGAGCATGCACGCAAACTGGCTAGAAAGTTGCACCCAGTGTGTCGTATGGTGGAACTGCCAGGCGGTCACCTTGTAACGCATCAAAACACCGATGAGGTAATGTAATTCGTAGATCTCAGACGCTTCGTGTGGCTTTCTCGACGGATTTAATTTGTCGAAGTTGTTGGAGTAGCTACGATTCTATCGCGCAACAAACGTCAACTTGATCAACATCCTTCGATGATGGCTGCGGCAAACGATGCATTACAAATTCTAGTCAATAAGTCGGCATTCATTTTAAGACTCTGTTTAGCTCTCCCCATTCCCCGTGCATTAGGAGAACCACCACTTATCTAGTGTCAGAGAATTTCCTTCTCTTGGTCCTTGAGGTCCGCAAGTATTCACCATTCCCGTTTCGAGTTGTCCAAGTAATAGCCCCTAGTTATGATCCTCCTTGGTTGAAGCTCTGTATGGTTTTCACTGCCAGGAGGTAAGATAGTTTCTTGATTCACTCTGATACTCGCTGAAGACATGTGTTTGTCGAGTACTTTTATGCACATGGGTCATCACTTTCTTCGCGGCTTCTACAAACACAGAGCGTGTTCAGGCGTATAGACTACGTAGCAAACTGTCAAAGACATCCATCTTATGGAAGTAGTTAACGTCTTGGATCTGGAGTCGCAGGTCAATGAAGTTCTTTTGGATATGGTGAGGGCGGTAAATATGAACGTACAATGCTATGAATGGGAGAAAATCGACGCCAATTCCTACGGAGAAGGTATGCACTCCCTGTGCTCGTTGTAAGAGATTTTTCCCAAATTTTACTCCCTTTCATGCCAGATACAACTATGTTTTCTCTCATTGTTATTGTCCTGATTTTGCTCGAAGAGTTTGATCATCATCCTCTTTTAAGTTTTTCTAGCCACCCAGCCACCCAGCCAGCTACTTGTTCTCTGCACTAGTGTCTGCACAACAATTAAGTTCTTGTAACTTACGCTTGTGCTATGAACCCAAAAGCATTGTCGGAAAGATGTGATATACTTTCACTTGTGAAGTGAATTATGTCAGTGAAAGTATGCCTCGAAAATACTTCAAATTTGCATACCTTTGCAAATCGTAACCCGAGATGTAATCTAAGTAGACTGCTGATGGACTGACCTGACCAGTCAACTTTTCCTCCCCCACCTTCTTCAGAACGACAAGTATCGTAGTGCGGTTGATCTGTGTTAGAGAAGACAGATTTCATGCTGTGATCTGTTGTGAGAGTGGAGTTCACCACCTTGTTAGTAGCGATTTGTTGTTTATGATGGTGCGAGTTCATCTTTCTCAACCAACGACCTTCTTGACGCGAGGAAGTGATCATAGATAGATTCGTGCAGATTATTCCGAATACATATAGCTTCCTTCAAGTCCTGTTAATTGTGGGGCGTCATAACTGAGATTCGTATACAGCTTGAACATGTGGTTCAATGAGCCTGCCTAAGGTTTTCGCAATTCTTCTAGAACGAATAGTTTATTGAAGTCGAGGTTTCCTCGTTGTTTGTGACGTTCTAAAACTGGGAGCAGTTTCTAAAATTCCGCAGGACGAAGGCCAAGGAGAAACAAACCAACAAGTTCAAGTCTCGTCTCCGCCTTTGCAAGGCAGATTAAAAACCTCTGGCTCAGCTGTTTCTGTCTACGCGATCTATTCGATGATCATGCCTGAATGGGTAGATATCCTTTATGTTTTTCCTTTTCTTCATTGGACCGCTAAAGTAATTCAGAATAGCTTGTAAGAATTTGTACTTTATAGAACCACAAAATCCCCTCAGATATTCATTCATAGAGAAGTATTTGACAACCAAAAGTGGTTGTCAGATTGTCTAGCTTGTAACGACTAAAAAATTGCCATTTGATTAAAATGGTCGAAGGCCCGGGACATTCTCACATGCAGTTGGTTTCGCTGCAATTTTGATACGTTCTTTTACTTTCACGGTTGTAGACCTTTCGAAACACGTCTCTTGGTGATCAACTTTTAATCGATTTTGTAATGCTCCTTGTCAAACAAGATTGCGTGCACTTCAGGCCATCGTGGAAAATCCAGAAAAGCTTACAGCCTAATCTGAACTTATTTACCTCAAATTTTCGACTTAATATTATAGTGAAGTGACTTCCAGAAATTCAAATTGTGGTGACGATACTGATGTTAGTTCTGATTGACTTTTTTCCCAGTTAAAAATCCGTACTTTCATTTCAGTTTATTGCTGCCTCAATATATTTGACTGTCTTCCAATCTCCAACCCCTTCGTAAGTGAATACCCGGAATGAATGACTTTTCTTTCAGTTAGAAATCCTCACTAACGTTTCCGCACATTGATGTTTCAAAACCTTCGACAATCTTCCAAGAACCAACCACTCAGTCGTCTAAAACACCTAACAGCAGCCAGGTGCGAGTTGACTCATAGGAAGGTGAATGTTTTGTCGAGATTTTATTCGAAGTAGAGCTCTGCATCCTCCTCGGCCGACATGAAATGGTTGTCTTGAGTACTGCCTCCACAACTCAAAATGTAAGGTCTTGGGCAATATCAGAGAATTCTAAGATGTATATCTCAGAAACAAAACAAAATTATAAATACAAACAAAATTCTAGAGGGTTCAAGACAACGTGCAGTCTCGTGATGCACGACGATGGTTCCTTCTTAGCCAGGATCAGTAGTCCTACCTTTACAGCGTAGCTTCTTAATTCTGGCTGAGTAGACAAAGCCACTGGTTTATAAATTTGCGTCTGTAAGTGAAGGTACGGGGCTCTGGTCTTCGCAATTACGGGTCCAACAGTTTTAATCACACGTCATATGCAAACGTATAAGCGTTTTTGCAGTACTCTTTCACGCCATGATAACAAATAAGCAGCGCCAGCAGATCCATTGCCGAGCTATGCACTTGGGATTCTGTAATTGTATTTTACGATAGGTGACATAAGTTCACATACAATCGTCAACGAGACATGTGCGAGCCATGACAAAAAACAAATACTGGAAAATCTCCAATGACTTCTCTCTTGCTGAACTCTCGAAGTCACGCTTACCTGTGCAAAATCTTAGCAACAGAAGCGAACAAAGGTTGCACCTTTTAGTATTCTCAACGGGTATGGGTTCAATGGCAACTTCAAAACCTCTGAAGACCGTTTTCTAAAGGACCTTTCAAAATTGTGGCGAGAGCTGAGTGGCAAAGAAAGAGCACCAGGTAAGTAAGAAGCATTTCTCTTAAAATGAAAAGAACGCTCGCTGACATTCGTCCTTAGAAAAAGATGGCCGATGAGATCGTGAGTGTGACTAACTCAATTGCAGCCAGGCAGGGATCCAAGTAAATAGCAAAAGGATGGGAATCCACCATCAAACGGGACCCAGTACTAGGACCCTACATTTTCCCAGTGGGAAATATGCCAAATCTGAATCATCAGATCATGATACATGATACTATCGGGGCTCTAGCCCCCGATTTCCGTTTCGTTTTCTTCGTTGATGGGGAAGCTTCCCATTCTTCTGCTAGTTACTTGGTCCCCCCGTTTTATCATTTTCGTATCAAACGTTACACAACAACAGATTGCTTTACCTACCAACTGCTCTCTACATTTGTGTCCGGCTTGTATTATTTCGTCGTATCCGTTTATGGAGCTTGAATTCCTCGCGGGCACGTTCGGTTAGCAGAAATTGCTACACGTAATTGGAGGCGACGCAATCTGATTTCATATGCTTCTGCCTGGAAATATGCCATGACAAGAGTGAAGTCTTGTGTGTACGGCCTGTGCGTGTACGGTGTGTGTGCCTGGCCAGGCATGGAAGAGTCATGCGTCTGGTAGGATACGTAATATCAATTCTCCATTCCTCGACCCACATCCTAAAAGTCGAATGTTGATTGGGTTGCCTCTGCAGCAGGATCAAGTTCAAGATGAACGAGTGGGAAATGTCTTCGCCCATGATGATGATATATGAGCATGAATTTTGACAGTGGGTGAATCATCTGTGATTAAATAACATCGTTGTTAATTACCGGATGATGGTTTGACCTGACTTTATCCTCCTTTGGAAATTCATGGAATGTGGCTGATTATCCTACAAGAAATCACCAGGCCGATCGCTCTGGGTCCTACCCAATGCTCTCGTGCACCAAAAGCACACTTTTCTGTTGCTGTACGTGATCACATTTCTCAATCACATCTTGACACACTTTTGCGAGCACCGTCGTCAGCTTGTATCGTCTCGTATGCTATCATTGTCTGGAGTGAAGTTCTTGGAATTGTTGAGGAAACTAATCGCAGATCAAAACCTCTACATTCCGATGTCATACGATTATCTACCAATCTCCGGATTCGGAGTCAAACTCTCACCGCTTGGTGGCAGGCGCTATTCCCTTTTTTCTAGCTCAAAATCTTCTGGGCAAAGTTGTCAGCCTCCGTGTACTTCACCGAGGGAAGTTCTATCTTGGTCTTATATATTTAAGATTAGATCAAAATAAAGTTATCTTTATATAATTAACAAAATCAAATAACAACCTATGCATGCCCAGACACAGTGGACGCAACTCTTTCTGACCATCATCGTGCAAGAGACTTTCCACAAGCTGCTTGATGTCAACAATAAAAGAGTATGTTAATCTCAAAACTTTGTTTTTAATCTCGGATCGTGAAGATTTATGAGCAGGATGTCTTCCTTGGACGACTTTTCTGAGATACAGTGCCCACTTTACGGAGAGAGATATGACATTCGGTCAGAGCTCTCACAGTTTGCCCTTAAACTCGATGTCACGGATGCTCCCGTGCTTAAGAGGAAAGACGGCATGCTCACATCTAATCACTAATTTGTTATACAGGTATATAGTTTCATGTGCATGTTGAACTCTAATCGACCTGATCTTTAACCGCTGATCCTGACTTAAGCTGATTTGAGATGTAGAGCAGTTGCTCGATTGACGTGGTTCTTATGCCCCACGAGAGCAACTACGCATCCAATCTTTCGAAATTGGCAATGTTATTGCCGACCACCGTCGATCTCTTTTAAATGCCTCATGTCGTGGGGACTCTGGTTTGAAGAGTTTCAGCAGTGAGGTTACTGATTTAAGAATCTTACTGGGAATAGTGACTTCTCTCTCCTTGATGAACGTTCATTCATGTATGTAAATATTACTTGACGTACAGAGTGTGATTGCATATATGCGGCTAGTTCAAAGTCTGATCGGGTTTAGTCTTAGAAAGTATTGCGATGGATCTACTGCTTACGTATCTCTTTGTTAATGTGAGTTGACTCATAGTCGAGCTCTAGACCTCTAATGCACAGTACACGCTTTGCCTAAAGCTGGGTGGGTACCTGTATGACTTTGAAATACAGTTCAGGCTCAGGGCGTTCGGCAAGGTAGGATTGGCGTCATGTCGGCACTGGAAAAGCTCGATAAAGTTTCAAGTAAAGCCCACACTGAATGGACCGAATCTTCGAATCCTGTAACATGCCCTATGAAGAGTTCAATAAGTTTGTCAATAATGTAGAAATATGGATATATTTCTACATAAAACTGAAACAGAAAGCATTTTTATTTACCGTCCGCAGGAATCAATTATTCCCTCGGCCGGAGGGCCTACGTAGAGGGAGGGAGGATGTTTCAACGAGGAGAAGATCTCATGATTTACTGGTCGACATAGCCAAGACCGAACCTGGGAATCCATGATATCCTTCTTCATGGTCCGGGAAAAGCTTCAAACTATTGGTGATCGACGTTACCGACTATCTGTGTTGGTGTGGTAAGCGAACGTAACACTCGACTCTTGATTAAACTTCTTGACGTACTCCATCGCGACAGGTTGAAGCATGGAAGGGCTTAGCTGATACGGTGCTCTCACTGGCCAAAACAGAAATCCAAATTCCATCAACGTGTAAGGAAGGATGGGTCTTCTGCGGTCGAACCCCCTAGGTCAACCGTCTCACAAGTGGGATGCTAATCTTCGCTCACAATTTCAAGATGCGAGGGGAGGGTAGCTCATGGCCAACAGGATAGCCCTTTCCACTGCCCTCTCACGTTACTCAATGAGTACTTAACGATGGTATCCTGAGCGACAAATGAAATCGACTTCAGTGCACAACAGATTGTCACAAACTAGAGACAGACGTCAAACATAGGGTAAGCATTCAAGTCTGTACGGTAGTTATTACGTACTGATATAGCAAGGTTCCAAAATGGCTCTCGCTCATAGAACTTAGAGAGTACTCTACAAATATTAATATATGTATCAATATCACGAGGCTCACACTCCATATAAGCTCAGGTGCCTGATATTTGGTTTCGTCGCGCGCGTGAATACAAATCAACTGTGCATTTCTGTCACTGATTGCAGTAACAATCCTTTTATATGTCTATCTTCTCATGGACTTTTGTCACATTCTGAAGAAAATACTTTGAAGCAGATGTCTTACCATAACACTTCTTTTAACATTCAAATTTATCAGTGGGTATCGTATCTTATTTGAATGGTGCGTGGTGACTTGGTCTTTGAGGTGGAATGTGACGAAACTCCATTGGGATTTCCAACCTGTGGCCCTTTGCAAGCGTATCAAGGAGAAATTTCTAAACATTATTTGGAACAGACAAGTCACTAAAATGTAGTTTTATCAATTTCATGTGAATCCTATTCTTGATTATTGTGACCAAGGATACTTACTTGCGGAGATCTCTTCTTCTTTACGAGACATTATTGCTAGGCATAGAGCAGGATCTCATAGTCTTGGGATTGAAGTATGACGTTGGTTGAACATTGATAGGAGTGAACATATTTGTAAGCTATGTGATGAAAGAAAAGTTGAGGATAAAGAGTATGTATTTCTTACTTGTACTAGATATGTAGAGATTAGAGTGGCTCATAAAGTTGTTATTGAGAATTTTTATTCTTAGCTTCAGTTTGAGCCTTATGATTTAGGTCGTTTTATGGGGGATGTTATTAGCTAGTGCCAAGAACACTATTCTAGTGTTCTTGGCACTAGCTAGGGGGTTTTTTTGGTTTTCTCCTAGGTTGGAGTTGGATTGTTTGTATTGCGTTTTTCAACCTTTTGGGTCCCACGGGCTTGATCTATTTACCATTTACCATAGATACGCGACATCCAACTTGAAGCACACTTGTTTTCACAAGTTAAAGTAAGAAAAACCACTACAAAGAAACAAAAAACCCCTACTACAGAAACATATGAGCCAAAACTACTAAAGGCATTCCATCCAGCGTAGTATTTTACTTTTAATAAAGTAAAACTTGCAAGGGCCATGCTATTTTTATTCAAAAAATAGAATTTTTTATGAAATAGAAAATGCTGTTTTTTGGGTGGACCAAAGCGAGATTCCCCGGGACTGTCAGACAAAATAGGGGAAAATAGCTGACAGAGCTTTGAGAATAATTTATTTATTGGGTTGCATGTTTGGTGATTATTCCGGGCCCAGCGCTTCCCCGGAAAATAGGAGAGAAATATATTTTCCTAGAGCACTTTAAACCGAGTTGGCTTTCAAAACAGAGACTATTATTATGGATCTAGTAAAACATTTAACATTTTCTATGATTCTTTTTCTTTTAGGTATTTGGGGAATACATGCGCTCAAATAGATGTTCATGCCGAACATGTATAGGACAAGCACTCTCTTGACATTCTCTTACGTATCATCAGATTTTCCACTTTAGAGCACAGGCAGGCGTGCGTCTAAAGTCAGTAGTCTCGTGATTTGCGTTTTGAAGATGTGGCCAAGTCAGCAGACCTAGGCCGATGAGAAGAAAATATTTCGACGGAAGGCTTTCCAAACGGCTGGAAATCTCAAGTATACCCCGTTGAGAGAATTAAAGATGGTGCCTCGTTGATGCAAATTCATGCGAGAGAATTGACCTCCAGTAGATGCATGCATACCAAGAGTATATCTTTTGCCTTTTCCGGTGACACGGATGAGACTCATCCGACGTTCAGGAAACCGCAGAAAGAAGGCACAGTGTGCATTCAGTACTTCGATAGTGATGTTCCATGATACCTTATCAAGATCTTAACTCCTGCCCGATAAGTGTGAACGGCAGTGGCCCCACGGATAAAATGATGACGTTAGCTCTACTTTTGCACGAAAAAGTTTCAGTATATGCGTCAAGCCAGAACTTTAGATCGTCTGAACATGTGCGATACTAATGACGTGATTTCACACACTATAATTCCGTCACAATCTGATTTAAATTCTTATAGAATTCATGAATTGTGAATTTATGATAACCTTCTTTGAAGAGTAAATGGTAAATAAATCAAGCCCGTGTGACCCAAAGGGTTAAAAGACTAAAATACATAATACAAACAATCCAATTTCAAATTAGGAGAGAATAAAAAAAAACCCCATAACTAATGCCCAAAGCACTAGAACGGTAACTAATAATATTTCTAATGTAACAATCTAAATCATAACTGAAGCTTAAGTATATATATATTCCATTTTTCAAACTTATTGACACTTTGGAATATAATTGTGTCCATATTTTTCTGGAATAAATTACATTGTGTGTTCATTTTTCACCTACATTAGTCAATATTTATCCTTTGTGTCATATATATATATATATTGTAACTGATTTTTGGCATCGTAACTTAAATTTTAACTTACAAAATACTAATGATTAAATATTAGTTAGCTCCATAATCGTGAAGGTAATTTTAGTCTAATCAATACCAGATAAAGCTATTTTTCCATTCCTGCAAAGGGTTGTAAAGGTGTAAAGAGAAAAATAAAATCTTTCAACTTTTATTTAGCACCTCCATTTGGATGTATTCCCTTCATACTGTAATACTCAGTGAGTTTGATAGAAATTTGTATAGCTCCATCTAGACTTGAATTAGTACTATTCAAAAATAGAAATTTACTTTTTTTTCCCAATTGTTAAATTTTTTCCTTATTATTTTTTTCTTCATTTTCTTCTATATTTTGGGATAGACACCTATTTTTTATATAAAGACACAAACACTCTTTCCCCTTCTGCACTTCATATACTATTTCTGAATCCGATGTTTAGTATTTCATGTAATCTTATAGTGAAATCACGTTATATTTTCCTCTAGGGATTAAATTCAGGTCTTGATTAAATCTAGCCAACTTAATCATGACTAACTAATTCAGTTAGTTTGCTATTATATACAACAGTTGATACTAGCTCACAGTGACAGATACTTTAGAGTTTTCAGTAAATTACTTTTGTTCTTGTGGACGTAGGCTTACTAAAGTGAACCAAGTATCTGTCATGTCGGTTGTTTGCTTCCTGTTTGGGTCGTGGATACTTGTGTTGTATCGTTGAGTATCTACATATGATATTTAGAGTCGAGCTATTACAAACAATTTACCGACGCGATTGCACCTCGCTCATCACAAATCTTGAAAGCTGGAGATGGAGATCCAAATTGTGGGAAGACCTCTTAGAGTTTTCTAATGTTTTTGCAAGCAAGAAAACTTGGCAAAGCCTTGAAGTTCGATTTAATGCAAATCTAAACAAGGTCTGGTGTTTTTTTCAAAGAAATATTCTCAAAATTGACAGTGAAGGTGCTTATTGTTGCAAATGACAATGAGGTTTCAAGAATTCAATTCTTATCGCTCGATTTTTATAAGTGTTCGTTGATGTGAGAGTGGACAAGTTTTGGAGGCTTTATTGTCTATCTATAATTGAAATTAGAATATTGTATAATGTAATCAAAAATCGTATAATTAATATATGTTTACTATATATTTGATTTATTGGAAAAATAATTTTGATATCAAATAATATTTCAATGTAATTATTTAAATATTTCGGTTTTAAATTTCTCAAATTAATTTGTGAGCGATAAGTATATTAATTAACTTAAACAGAAATTATTGTGCCAAGTTTGACATCTATATATATATATATATTAATAATACTGATAAATTTTTATTTATTTTAAAATTTCTAATATAATCATATGTATGTAATAATATATTACCGATCATCAATCCATGTGTTAAATGATGAAAGTTGATCGTAAAACAGGTGAATTATAGAAAATGAAAATTTGTTAGACAAACTGATATTGTTTTTTTTAAATACATGTTAATCTTAATGTTAAAATCTTGATCATTATGATTGCTGTATTGCGATATAAAGAGAGGAATAATTTATCAGCAATATTTGAAGTCTCAAATGTTTTACACAGTTGTTTGAGCACAATTGAAGGTTTGTTTTCATCGATGTGAAGTCAGCCGCATCATATTTCATGTAAAAATTTACTATTATTAATGTTCATAAATAAATCTAAACTTGATTATTGAATTGTGGCTGTAACTTACTGTATAACATAAATACTTCATCCAAATAATGTTCAAAATATGAACAGTTTTAAAATTCAATATATACAGAAACAGTGTAAATTTCATTACCAAACACAATCATTGTCACATGCTATTTACTTTAGAAGTAAATTATACCATGAAACTTACAATCATTTGTTTACCGAACGCTTTAAAACAGGTAGTATATTCACAAGTTGAAATCACAGATTTTAAACTCACATCTATCTGGTCGTTCATTCCTTCCAATCTTTTGTAGAGTTTCGTTATTGTGATACATGGATAAGTCATTGTGAGAACTTACTATCAAAAATTTAGTGATGAATTTGAAACAAGAAAAAATTTAAGATATGAGAGTTCACTCATAGGATAAAAATGGACACGTATGTACATCTTTCCTCTGTAGCTGTGACAGAGTTAATAAGACATGTCTCTGCTTGAAAAATATGTATACTGTAATAACAGTAGAAGTGTTATTGGTCACCGAATTAAATGTTGTAAAAATTGAAGTAATATCACACCAGAACTTTGGTAGTATATTAAATCAGAATAAAAAGTACACTGAATGTATGTATGTATGGGTTTCCTGGTTAAACCTTAAAAGAGAACTTCCTGCATTTAGACCTTAAAATGTAGATACTAACACCATGATAGTAAGTTTCCGGATTCAAAATCAGTACGAAGTGAAGTTTGTAGAGAAGTAGTGAAGTTTGTCATACATTCTAATGTATGACAAACTTCAATCAATTTGCCCACAAGATGTCCAGCTCAAAAATCCTGGACGCAAGCATACCAAACATTAACAGATACAATACGATCCATCGAAGATCGCGTGCCTGTGCGAGGAGAAAAGGACCAAATAGATAGAAACTTTGCGGCCCAGAAACAGAAAGTGCAAGGAGGGCTTTTTCAAGAAACAAAAAGCACATACAACGTAAGCTGCGGTTGTAAACAAATGTCAGCCATCGAGGCTTAAGTACCTCCATTACATCCCCACTCATCACATAGAAGCAAAAGGCGCGTCACGTAAAAACGAAAGTACAATGGCAATAATGGAATAAACTGACAGAATCGAGTTTGCCAGCAATCGGGGCAGAAGATCTCAGACCAGCGATAATCATCCATAGCAGAATGACCAAGATCAATTTACCGACACGCAACTCACCAGCCTCAATTGTATACGCCCGCCATGGACTAAATCTCCAACACGGCAAGCTGCAGGCACATGCCTACAAGGGTTTAGGCTACATTTTAAAAGGATATAAAGTAAACCTTTGGAAAATTTCCATTAATTCCCTTCTGGTACTACAAGCAGAAGTGAGCCACATTCCAAACCTACTGATCCGAGGGGATAAGTTCTCAGTACATGCGCTACGGCCTCTAATGAAATTTGAGATTCAGAACAAAGTTGATGAGGATAGAATTAACGATAAATCATCTCCACTTAGTGTGATGTGCAACAACTTGAACACTGACTGCAGAATCATTTATTTCCCTAAAGACGCGTCTTCTATGCCAAACTCTTTTCTTCACCGTTGCTGCTACAGGAATGAAAAGCACACATCTCATCAGACGATCATCTCATCTTTGAAAACCCCAAAGATTCTCAAGATACTCAATGACTCAACAAAAAGGTCTGTCCTAAAATTATGAGAAAATGTAAAGCCATGTCGACATGGGTCACAGTAGTAGCCAGCAACATTCAAACAAAGTTCTTGTTCCCTAAGTTTCTCACGTTTTGTCGAATGGGACTTCCAAACAGGAACTGTGCGCGATTAAGAGAACGGAACTCTATGTCCTCCACTGACGATACAAACGGAAGAGACAAGGGCTGAGCAGATCATGAAGAGACAGCACAAAGCTCAAAAGGACGTACCCGAGTAAGATTAGGAATTTACATAAAAGTGAACCAGCAGAAGCGCAGATGTGTCCAGCTTACAATTAAATGTGAGGTATATACAAAGCAAGCTAAGCCAAACGAAACGAGCGACTACTCAGTGTCGGTCTTCATGCGTGTAGCCGTCTAGAGATAACACATTCTCCCTCCTACGTTTGGCCAAGTCTACAGCAGAAACGTGTTGAAGCTTCGCACTATGAATCTTACCAAACGATCTTCCCCACTGACTGTACAAGATGCGTCAAATGCACAGGAAGACCCACGACCTAAGAGAAACCATGGAGGGCATGTTAAAGTGAGAGTGTCCATTACATACCCTCTTCTTCGAGATTATCTGGCCTGAGTCCAGACTCTCAAGCATCCAGACTACCGAAAAGTACGTGGAAACCAAGCAGAGGTTTCTCATTGAGAAATTCTCAAAGCTGAACACAAAGACAGCCCTCACAAAGATCGTGTCCAACCCAAACTGCCCAGGCTATACAGAAATCTCTCAGACTGAGATTTCAGGAGGCTTCCCAAAGAGAATTTCGCTCCCTTCGTAGGCTCAATGGGTGGAGATCGAGCAAGACGGGGTACTTCAGTGATTTGCAACAAAGTCTGTCCGATCTCCATTTCCCGCCGCATGTTATCCACAATATTCCTGTCAACAGGGTTTCCCCGCGCATCTGTTACATAAAATACATTCACTGCTTTATCGTTTCTTGTTTCCACGTCTGCCCTTGTCACAGAAAGACCGTTCTCCCTGAATATGCGAGTAACTTCAGACAATAGACCAACTCTGTCACTGGTACAAAGTTCTAGCCTCAAACCCTGCAAGACACCACATCAACAAACGTCACTCCGCTTGTTGGACAGAATAGCGCGCGACCCAAATCGAAGGTCCTGAAAACCGTCAAATTCTTGAAAGGATCCCAACTCCAGCACAGCGGAGTTGCTTCTTGGTTGTCTCTAAGTCATCTCAAACTAATAGATGTCGTTACCGAACATGTTGTCACACGATTGGAGAAGGATTTAGCTGTTAGAAAAATAACTACAATATCCCACCAGTACGACATAGAAAACCTTTTCCGGGATGGCAAATACTTTGTTATTCAATTACTTGATTCTAAGCAATTTTGCGCCTACAACGTTACCAGAGGAGCTGTTTTCTGACTTCGTTTACTACCACAAGGTGTAATTGAATTATACTGTGAATTCCTTCCATGGGGCTGAAGGCAGTTATATAGTCTAACTAAGTGCAGCTCTTTACAGAACAGGAATGACTGTCTTAGAAGCCAGCCAGTCGCCACATTTCAGCCACAATGCAACTTACATCGGAAACACGTCTTTCGATAGCGGCCTCCAAGCACTTGATGACTCTTTGCTTCTCGGCTTCTGAATCAAGAAAGCGTCCATCCATATGTCGAATATAATACTCCTGCTTGTACATAAGCACGACGTTAGACGTTGTTGTGAGAACGAAAACAGATCTACATGTGATGCAGCAGGAACTTTAATCCGTACTCACTTGATGGGCGATAGATCCTTCGGAATTTATGGTTGCATGAAAGACGACATACTGCATGTCCGTAAGAGTGCACACTGTGTCAAATAGCAACTTCGGTCGGTCTGTACACTCTACATTTACGATAGAATAACCTCTCTCTCCACAGTTTTGAATAGTAATGTTCGGCTTCCCGTCAACAGCTTCCCTCTTTACTGGTTCAGGACTCTCATAATCTCGATCCGCAAACATCATTTGGTGAAGCCTTCTCTCGGTGTTCGTTAGCCCCATAGAAAACTCGGTCTTTGCTCCTCTTCGATCATCTGTTCCTTTCATAACATTGCACAGGAGCTCTTTAATGCGCGACTGTAACTCCGGATCCTTAATCGGTCCACCCGACTTCTCATCTGTGACGTAGACAACGCAAGCTACACGCATGTTGTGTGTCCAAACTTCGGCGTGTTTCACATTGCAGCCCAGATTCGTCAATACTGCTGACACCTCCGAAAGCAAGCCTGGCCTGTCTGTTCCAGTTAGTTCAATGGCTGTATGTTCTGCTATTTGTTCTACACCGACAGTTCTTCCAACTGATTTCCCCAAGCACGTTCGTACATCGCTTCTCGTCGTGAAGTCATGTTGGGCACCGAGCGACTGCTCGCAAAAAGACACAACAATCAACTTTTACAATTAGAAAACAAAGCACACGGCGAGACAAGATGATGCAAGCAATTCGATATAGCAAAATACAAGCTAGACAAGATGAAGCACTTTTCATCACTCTCATTGAGCAGACTTCGTAAGTTTGAGAACTACCTGCTTGATGTAATCAATAAGGCTCGCGTCGGTAAGCTTGTTCTTGTTTTGATCTGTAACGTGAAACACTTCACAATACCAATGTGGATTACTCTTAGATCTAGGTGAACCGTGACCAAGTATCCAAAGATAACCTAAACTGAGCAAAGTCGGGTTCTAAAACAAATCCCGTCTTGCAACATTCTAGGTTCCCGCTCGAGACAGTTGTAGAACACGCATGCCGGCGTGAAACTAAAAGCGAAAACCAGGAAACTAACTCACCATCCATGAACCAGCCCCCATCTGAAGAAATGTAGGCTTTGGTTATCGAAAGATCGAGTTCGGTGAGTACTTGGACAACCTCTAGCAGGACTCCATGCGTGTTGGCACTATCCACCTGAGAAAACAATGTGGTAAACATTGGGTCAGAACTTCTACGAAAAGACGCTAGGGCATGAGATCATGAACATGAGAGTGGTGCAGCTGTCACCTTGATTAACGTTGCATTCTCACATATATTGTTGTCAATGACCACTCTGGGAGGATTCATCCTGGCGCTCAAGCTATCGTACTCGGGATCGAAGTAGGGCCAATTGGCTTGCTCCATGGTGTCCTGTAGATACAATCAATGTCTCAGCCTCAGTATCACATGCTCCGTCTAGACACGCGAGACTGGCAAGTTGGATTGCAGAGCAAACAACTACAAAGTAGACATTCGACTACAGTAGTCAATACGAGACTGCAAAATCGCATCTACGACCAGGCATACGTCCTAGCTGCTCCTCTCAGAATGAGACTAGGTTTATCAACACAATCCTGTGCTGCTGGACAGGCGTAAGACCCCTAGCCAACAATATCGCCGGCCACCAAGTGAACTTGCAACTATTTAGGTTATAACCACCAAGAAGAACGTCCTGACAGGAGCAATCTTCTTCAAGAAGAAGGTTCGGTCCTAACCTTTGCCGCTGAAGAGAAATTGCAAGTCGTTGAAAATGTCTTCGTCAAATGCGCTACTACTTCCCAGACTTAGCAGACGCAGGCGGGGAAGGTTGTCGAATTATCATACATGGGATAAACTGTAAGAGTCCCACAGGTACCCCTCACATTACAGGAGCTGCACCTAGTACCTCCCATCGAAGAAAGCAGAGCACCTCGATTTAAAACGCTGACCTAAAACAGGGTCTCGTCATGAGAACCCACCAAGCTACTCAAGGTTTCCGGACTACACTTCAGGGGTACGTAAGATGGACGCGAAATCTGGAATCGGGAGTGGACTAACTTGCCGCCTTTCTCAAAAATCAATGTCAATCTATGTGGGACTCACATGAGGTGCGAACTTTGAATAGGATACATGGTTGGACTATCCCCACAGGCGGCTCGATCTCATAACCTAAGATATGGTATCGAGAGTGAAGGATCTACAAGCCTCGAAAGCGACCTCTGGATAGATGAAGTTATAATACAGATGGCCTCTAAGAAGCATGCAAACTAGACGGACTGCGCACCTAGCCGTCACCTCCGAAAGAAGAGAGCCCTCGCTCCTATCGACAGGAGGACCAAGACACCAGAGCAAGAAACCCTACGAGAGAAAAGAAAAAGGAACAAAGATCAGAAAACGAAAAACGAAACTGAAACGAAAATATGGACCTGATGGGCAGGTGAGATTAGATGTAAAGGCAAGAAGCAGGAGGTGGTAGTTGTCTCTCTGTCAACCTGCAAATGCCTACGGCTACTGCTCTCTTGTGCTTGCTTCAGCCTACACAACACACAACTGGGACTGTCTGTCTTCTTGCTGTTCTCGTTCTTCAGACACCTCAGAATTCTTCTGATCGGTCTCGTCCTCTTTGTCTTCCTCCTCTCCTTGTTGTTCCGATGAGGTCGCCCTTCCCTTCTCCTCTCTGCCTAGTGCTCGCGTGAAACTATGACTCTGGACACACTCCGCTCTTCTACCGCTCCTCGGTAACTATTGGAGCTGCCCACACGCGTTAAAACATGATTGGCCCCCTGGACGGCTGTAGATGGCTGTTTTCGTCTTCTGCTTCTCTCTGATTCTGGAGTCTGGTGGAGGAACGAAGGGAGGGGAGTTCAATGGAGAGAGCTTCTGAAATTGACTTGACAAATGGAAAGAAGCCGCGATTTGATTTTAAAGCTACTGATCTCTGCATCTTCGCTGCCCAAATTTTAAGGAACCGACCTCGGTCCTGTTCTCCAGCAGTACCTCTTCTCCAAATCGAGCCTATGGGACCGCGGCGGGTGACCGCACACGATTTGACTCTAGGGTAAACGAAGTTTGGAGGGAAACTATTATAATATCAAAGCACATTATTCCCCGCTGACATAATGGCTTCAGTGTCGTGTACGTCAATGATGTGGAATTATGTTCACTTTCTTTCCCTAAATGAGATAACCTTAAATTCCAAATACACCTCTAATCACATTAGCTGTCTTTGTGAACTATTTGTGAAAGGAGAAAGAACACAACAATGACATGTGACTTTATCTGCGTTATTTCATGGAAGTGAAATCAAGCCAATTCAAAAGAAATCCCACATAATTTTCTGAAATAAAATAGAAAGTATACTTGCCAAGAAAGAGAGAAAATTTGTGATTTTCGTATGGCCAAATATTGTTGCTGAAAAAAACCCCAAAAAATCTCTTTGATTGATCTGACTTCTACGACCCTAACCAAAACTTGACCAAAGTGCCTCTATTTCATTTGTGTTCGTTGTAATATGTTTAGTACACAAGGAAGAATGAGACTGCATAATCTTCACACTAAAAAGATCTTATCACTTTGCCAAGTTCAAAATGTTTAGATAAATATCACACTTGGGCGCAACTACTCCTTCGTATAAAATAGGTACACCTAGCAAAATGAAGCAAAATTTTTGGATTATGCATCCATTCAAAGTCTAAAAAAATATCATAAACACAAATATATAAACATATAACATAAAAATAAAAATAGGGCAACTGCAATTCTAAATTAATTATTTTACTATTAAATAATTATTTATCATTTGATTCATACTTAATTTTAGATAAACTCAGTTTTCTTTAAAATTAATCTGATTTGAAAATCGATCGAAAAATTGCAGTGAAGTCTTTTTATATATGACTACATTTATCTTTGAAACTAAGATAAATTCTATGATGAAGTTGAGGATAAGTACTCAAACTTGATAAAGAATAAAAACATATCATATTCAGAACTCTAACAACTATAATATCAAGAATATGGAGACATGACAGTAAGTTAATGGATAAGTATCATTTCATGATCTATATCAAGTGCTTTAGCTATCATGGACAAAGGAAAACTTGGCTAAAAAGACACTCTTTGTGTTTTATTAAATTATAAGTTATAGTTAAAATGGTAAATGGTCAAGCCCGAAATCATAGTAAGTAGAAATCATGTTAGTGTAAGTTTTTTATGTTTAATCACAATATTTTCTAACATTGACACATGAAAAAAAGATAAAGAAATAATGAGAATACTTGAGCTGAAAAAAGTACTAGTTCAGTTGTTGTCAAAAGTAAGAGATGAGAAAGAAGTTTATGTGGTTGAAGATATTAATGGTGTGGAAATAATATTATATTTTTTGATTGATGAGCAAGGAGTGATTAAAAAATTGAATTTATTTTTAAAACTCTGTACACATAAAGAAGATAAAAATTAAAAGATACGTTAGCATTATGACATGAAAAAAATATAAAGTAATCAACGGCTCAAGTTGGCAAGAATTGAAGTCTACAAACACATTTTATATGCTTTTATGTTAAAAAGATTGAAATGAAAGAGTAATATGATACAACTTGTGATATGTGAATCAAGCATTGTAAAAATTAATATTATTTGGATTTTTTTTATTGAACTTATTTAGATTCATTTAAAATTTTCCAGTAAAATTTAATATTTAAAATATATATTTTATAATTTAATAATTATTTCATAAATGTTTTATTTTATATTATTATTAATTTTGAATTTATGCAAATTGACTCATGAATAATATAATATAATTTTTTTTTATTTAATTTCATACAATATGAGGTTGTGATCTTATTTTATTGCAAAGAATATTGCAAAATTTACCAAAAATTAATCTTGTGTAATATCACACTAAATTAATTTTTTGTAATTGAAATATGCACAATATTTCATAAACCACAACTAAATAGCACATGTAAGTTAAATTCCTCTTGTCACGGCAAAACTCAAGAATTACACGAACACAGTAATAATGTGGTTCACCCTCGGGAAGGAGGCCTACGTCCACCTAGAACTCTCAGCACTTTATTCCACGTCTTGTCAGAAAGACTCTCAATACAGGGAGAACTCCGAGGTATCTATCCTCTATCCAGACGAGCGTCTTAGCTATAATTAGTTAGGTCCCAAGGTTACTCCTTAAGTGGAGTTAACCTCAACAATCTCCCCCTTAACTCACGTTAAGGTAAATGGTAAATGGTAAAAAGATCAAGCCCGTGGGACCCAAAGGGTCAAAAGGCTAAATAACACAATACAAAAATCCAACTCCAAACAAGGAGAGAACCAAAAGAACCCCCTAGCTAGTGTCCAAAGCACTAGAACGGTAACTAATAACGAGGTAAATGGTAAACGGTAAATGGCAAATAGATCAAGCCCGTGGGACCCAAAGGGTCAAAAGGCTAAAAAACACAATACAAACAATCCAACTCCAAACTAGGAGAAAACCAAAAGAACCCCCTAGCTAGTGCCCAAAGCACTAGAACGGTAACTAATAATATCTCTAATGTAACAACCTAAATCATAAGGCTCAAGTTGAAGCAGAGAAAAGAAATTCTTGACATCAACTTTATGCGCCACTCGAATCTCTATATATCTAGTACAAGTAATAAACACATGCTCTTCATCCTCAAATGGTAAATGGTAAATAGATCAAGCCCGTGGGACCCAAAGGGTCAAAAGGCTAAAAAACACAATACAAACAATCCAACTCCAAACTAGGAGAAAACCAAAAGAACCCCCTAGCTAGTGCCCAAAGCACTAGAACGGTAACTAATAATATCTCTAATGTAACAACCTAAATCATAAGGCTCAAGTTGAAGCAGAGAAAAGAAATTCTTGACATCAACTTTATGCGCCACTCGAATCTCTATATATCTAGTACAAGTAATAAACACATGCTCTTCATCCTCAACATTTCTCCCATCACATAGCCCACAAATACGTTCACTCCTATCAATATTCAACCAACGTCCTTCCTCAATTCCAAGCCTATGAGATCCTGTTCTATGCCTGGCAATAATATGACGTAAAGATGTAGCGATCTCTGCAACAAGGTACCCTTGCTCACAATAAATAAGCATAGGATTCACATGAAGTTGATAAAACTGCATTTTAGTGCCTTCTCTCCTCCAAATGATGTTGAGAAACTTCTCCTTAATACGCTCGCGAAGGGCCATAGGTTGCAGATCCCAATCCAATTCCGTCACATTCCACCTCAAAGACCAAGTCATCACATCTGCAAACCATCCCTTGGAACGTGTGGCACGCAAAGCATGAAGAGGAAGTCGAGAAGCATCAAGAGATCTCACCCTTCTAATATAAGTGATGGTCAAGTAGAGAGCTTCAGCCTCAAGAGGTAGACAACCTGTTTTCGCAAGAAGAATAGCATAAGGAGTTTGGTTCCTTACACCTAACTCTTCTTGTAAGAAGATCTTTTGCACCCTCTCCACACGCTCCCAACTTGTCTTCTTACAGCCATGACCCCACACTTGTGTCCCATATAGAACCACCGGCAACACTAAACTCCTAAATAAAAATTTCCTAAGACTCCAAGATACTAGATGAGCTCTTCTAAATCGATTTAACAATGAATATAGAGCTTTGTAAATGGTAAATGGTAAATGGTAAATAGATCAAGCCCGTGGGACCCAAAGGGTCAAAAGGCTAAAAAACACAATACAAACAATCCAACTCCAAACTAGTAGAGAACCAAAAGAACCCCCTAGCTAGTGCCCAAAGCACTAGAAATTTTATTTTTTTTTCTTTTTTGCAAAGCACTAGAACAGCTTTGTAACCAGCTTCTACTCTCTTTTGTACACAAAGTGCCAAACTATAATTCTGAGAAAAATCAATGCCTAAATATTTGTAACTCTTCACTTGTTCCAATTCTAGTCCCTTGTAAAAGAGAGAGAACTTGGATCTAGTGCCCACAAGAATGATCTTTGATTTTTCCAGATTGACCTCCATCTGATTTCGAGTACAAAAGCTAGCCAAAGTATCAAGGTGTTTCTGAAAACTAATTGCATCACGTGCTAGTAATATGATATCATCTGCATACAAAAGAGCTTTGATCACAAAGTCTCCAAGTTTGACTCTTTCACTCTCACAATCATCCAACCACCTTTCTATATCATCTATGAATATTCCGAATAGAGTAGGAGAGAGAGGACAACCTTGAATAACTCCAATGGTGCTCGAGATCTCTTGAGGCTGAGAGGCATCAATCTTAGCTCGAACTTAAGTGTATAAAGTGGCCACAGCTCCGAGTAGATTAGCCGGTACTCCAATGTCTTGTAGTCTTTCCCATAAAAGCTTTCGAGGAACAGTATCAAAAGCTTTCTTCAAATCGATGAAGATCAGCCTCAGATCATGCTTCGTCTACAAAATAAAAATGTCTGAACTTTTTTGTGACCATCTGAACACTCGAAACAAAAAGTCGAAACTCCAAATCTGCTGTAACTTCCGAATCAAGCGTCCATTTACCTTCAAACTTTTTGAACTTCTGCCGAATATCAATCCTCAAGTCCCCAAAAATTTTCAGCCTCAGATCATGCTTCGTAAAAAAGATAAAAATGTCTGAACATTTTTGTGACTACCTGAACACTCGAAACAAAAAGTTGGAACTCTAAATGGGCTGTTGCTTCTGACTCAAGCGTCCGTTCACCTTCAAACTTTTTATGCTATTGCCAAAAATTAATCTCCAAGTGCTCAAAAATTTTCAGCCTCAGTTCATGCTTCGTCCCAAAGATAAAAATGTCTGAACATTTTTGTGACCACGTGAAACACTCGCAATTGACACTCTTCGCTGAAGAAATTCGTAAACTTGGGCGTCCCAACTCCAAAATCCGTGAAGGCTGCAGCGCGCTACCCAACTCCACGCCCCTGAAAATTTTCAGCTTCCGTGGACACTCAGACGCGAAGAAACGATCTCTGCAAGAAACGATCTCGACCCCAA